ATATTTTTCGTTTGTGACTTATATTTCTTAGTTTTTCAGGTAAATATGCTGAATATTTAACTTTGAAGCAATGTTAGTGATGTTGTAGAACTCAGTTGAAAAGTCACTGTGCAGAGTAGTATAACATTAGTACTGTCTGCAAAAGATATTGATATTTTTAACTTTGTTTCTCTTAGACTTAAAACGATACCATTAAGTATATTAAATTGGTAATTTTTAAAATGGAATGATATTGAATAAAATCCTCATTGACCCTGGAACCAGATTCCTCTGTCCAGCAGCATAATACCCAGATCTGTTTTTAGGTTAATTTAGACTTTATGCTTTATTTGAAAAAATTTAGAGACCAAACTAAAGTTAACCTTTTTTGAGGAAATCTTTATAGAACAACATGATAATCTAAGAAATAAAGTAGGTCTTAAAAAAAAACAAAATTGAGGTTCCCTAAACATGTATAAACATATTTCAAACATATTTGAAATAATATGATTTGTGTCTAGTAATTAAGTAGGTCCTCTGCTAGATATCTTTTTGCTACTATACTTTGCATTTAATGATTTTTTTCTTAAATGTTCTGTGTAATTGGATATTAATTTTACTTATTTTGTAACATTAACTCAATTTGTCTGCCTTAGAGAAGTTAGCTGCTTAACAAAACATTTTTTATATGGACATGAAGTTTGTTAGTAATTCCTTATCCCAACATTAAAGATATTAAGTTGGATTGTTACTTTTACTGAGCTCTGTCCTTTATTTTACTGTTGTCATGTGCCTTAGGATTTCATTGTGGTTGTAGTCTTACATGCTTTTTAAAAATATTTTTTGTTGCGCTTTACTTTTCTATATATTTTTATTCATCATAGCCTTTCATCGACCTCTTTCAGAGGCAAAAACTTTTTATAGTCTTTATTTTTTTAAATCTTCTTTTCCTTAAAGCTTTTACTGTAAGGTCTTCTATCATGAGTTAAAGGAGAAGTTACTTTATGTGCAGTTTTCTGGATCTCATACTCATCCTTCTGTTATGCCTACCTGTTCTGCTTGTCCATAATGTTGATTTATTTAATTATATGTTTATTTACTTATTTATATTTGTCTATATGTTCTTTATTTCTCAGCACAGAGAGGAATGCTATATGGCTTCTAGTATTTGTAGTATGTTTAAGTAGTACCATTTGGGGATGGTGCTGTATTTTAGTTACTGTAAGGCCTAGATGGAAATAGAAGACTTAAGTTTCTTTTTTGGTGCGGTAATCCATGGTTCCTTTCCTGGACAAATTTTATACCTTTTCATTAGTAAGCATTTATTGACTGCTTTATGTACAGTAGGAATTCAGCAACTGTTTGTTTGAATGCCTAGAGGATATTTTATATTAAACTAGCCTCCTAGGGATTGGCAGTCTTTCAGAAATGGCATCCCAAGTCTTCATTTATTCCCTGCTTTACAGGTCAGAGAGAGAAAAATGGCAGCTGTATATGTGGAAACAATTTTGGTCAAGCCCCTTGACAAAGTAGCCAGCAGACATACTTGGGGGAATGCTCAGAGGTATGCTGCCTGTGCTGCTAGAATCTCTTGGGCAAGAACAGTACTTGGGAAAGGGCAGCACGGAGGCCTCTTTCCTTATAGTACCTTGGTATATGTGTCCATATTTTCTCCCCATAACTCTCATAACTTTGGGGGTTTTTTTTGGCGATGAAAATGACCTTAATTATATACCATGGATGGTGGTTCCCTGTAGTCTTTGCTCTTAAGTTATTCACATCCAAATCAAATGATGACTGATTCTGTAATTATTGAACAATTTTGTTGGCTCAAATTGTCACCAAAGTTAAAAACTGAGACCCTCATTTACAATTTGGATTCAGATATCTGTGAACCAATTGTAAGTTAGCTATGGGAAATTCTGTGTCATGGCTGGCTACCTGTATCACTAGGACATAGCTAGTGATACAAAGAGAACAGGATTTGGAACTAGATGAATCTGGGTTTTGAATCATCTTCTAACACTTGCTGAACAAGTAACTTTTGAACTTGTGTTCCATTGCTCTTAATACGAAAATAATATTCTTACCTTCAAGGGTTTTTGTAAGAAATAATGACAGTGGTATACAGGCATTTAGCAAACTACTTGGTGCTCAATAAATAGTAGCTATTATAGTAATTATTAATATTATTAATTCATAGTCTGAATATAAATTGAAAACAGGTTAGTTTTTAATATTCACTTAAGAAAAATGTAATTGGACCCATTTGATATTCTTTAAAAAGTAAAGTATTCTAAAATATATTTTTTGCATGTTAGTACAGAAAACTGGGTTTACTCATATGTTGTGCCCTTGAAATAGAAAAACTGGGTTGAAATGAGTGTTTCCAAACTCAAACTCTAAAGAAAAATATCTACATCTATGGTTGAATAATCGGAAGAAGCTTTATGGTTGAATAATCAGAAGAAACTTTTTGAGTAGGCTTGAAGATGAGAAACAGGCTTGAGGGTTAGAGAGAGGGGAGGTATGTTCAGAAGAGGAAGCCAGCATACACAGATGTGTGGAGGTAAGAATATGCATGGCATGCTTAGGGGCCAGTGAGCTGACCAGTTTAGTCCTCCCAAGTGAACAGTGTTTAGGGGAGAAGCAAGATCTTCCAGTTTCATAAGGGAGACAAGACAGAAAAGACAATATTTTCTCCCCCAACTTGTGACTAAGTTACGGTCTTTTTGTTTGTTTGTTTGTTTGTTTGCTTTCATCTCTCCTTCACCTCCATCCTTGAAGAAGAACAAATGAAACATCAATAGAGAAAAGCTAAATAAAACCAGTTCCCATCCCCAGAAGGGGCCATATATACCATAGCTGGACCTGAAAGGTTCTGAGTTGACAGAATAGGATTATGATTGTAACCTTCAGGTTTTGAGATCTGATTTGTGCTGTAAGTGCTCAAGAAGTGTTGTGTGGCCTTGGGAAAAGAAGGAGTAAGGCAGCTGTCTTGGGTAACTGTGGCAGCACTGGATGTGATTGCACAGAGCCTGGGGAGTGGTTGGGGTAGGCTAATCAACGTCCTAGGGTGACTGACAGCTTGACATGGAGAAGAGTAGCTCTTGGCCACACTAGCGATTATGTGAAAAGTATTATTCTATTGCTCTCAGCTTTGTGCAGAAAGGGCAGCAGCCTCTGTGGAGCCACCAGGCCCTTCTTATGGCCAAGGAATTTGGGAAACTGAAACATTCTCTTAAGCCTTTATCACTCGTGTCTTCTAGGGGGGTGGAAGCTCTCAACTCCTTAAATCTCTTTTTGTCTGTATACACTTTATAGGTTGAAGTAGAGTAAGGAGAGAGATGTGAATGTGCTGCAGAGTGAGACCAAGTCCCAGAGTAGGGTATAGGTACTGGCTTTCTTCCTGGCTATTGAGAAAGTACCTTATAGGGAACCTCAGAACAGAGATGGAGCTCCCCTTGTATGAATGAGCTCCAGGCCCTGGGTTCTTAAATGGTGTAAGAATTCATTAAACCAGCAGGGAGGTGTGTGACCCTTAAACTTCATGGCTTTTGCTTGGTGCACTAGGAGGTCACCATAGTGTCTATCTGACCTCTTGCTAACTTGTGATAACTCTACCCATTTGCCCCAGAGCAGTGCTCTTTCTGTGTTGGAGGTGCATGGATATCTAGTAGCTGCAGGAATTTTAAAATTCAGGTTTATAGAATAAAAGGAAAAAAGCTTTGATAGTAAAACTTTGCTGATAAGTTTATTACAGATTGGAATTTGAGGAACAACATGGTTTTGTACCTGAAATTCATAACTGAGACCAGATGGTAGTGATGTCTTTTTGTGGAACATTAAAACATACTCAGATAAGTTTCAGGGATGAGATCATAACTGATTTTTTAAGCTAAAAAAAAAATTATTCTTTGGGAGGGAGGGGGCGAAAGAGGAGCGGGTAAAGGGACAGGAAAATCAACGACAATGTATACTGAGAAGTTAAAATAAAAAATAATAATTCTCATTAATGTAGTGATTTGAATATTGGTTAAACTTAATAAGTAGAAAATATTATCTGATAACACAGTTTCTCATCTGACTTTTATTCATCTTCATATTTTTGGCCCCCAACAGAGTCTGACCCATGGTAGGCTCATGGTAGATGTTTGATGACTTAGTTTGGCTATATTTAAAAGAAACGGTTTCATCAAGTCTGTGGCAGATGCAGCTAAATGACCGAGACATTTTTTCCCACCAAACTCTGATGATAATCTTTTAAAACAGCATTAACCACCTACTATCATTCTAATGGAATTGTCAAAGGAGATAAAACTGATTTGTCATCTTGTATCTAGGCATGAATGCACGAATGGGTACTACTCAAGAAATTAAGCTGGTATTAATTCATTTTTAAAGATTGAAAATTGTTACCCCCCCCAGGTTTCTTTTCCTGTTCAGGATACTGGCCTTCGTGTATTCCCTTTAAGCCTTTATTATTTCCCCAAAGGAGGGCTCCTGATAATCTAATGAAGGCAGTTTCTTGGGGTATGGCAACTGTGCAGTTAACTCTTGATGCTGTCATATCATTTGTTGTCAGAGTTCATTCTGTATGCAAATGGTAAATCTCCTATTTTTCCCCATGTTGTTAAGGCAGACTCAAGTCATGCTTTGAACACAAGGGATATAATTGACAGTTATACTTTCGTAGTCTTGTTCTTTGAAAAATTGTCCTAAAATATCCAAGTTTTTAATATTTTTTTAAATAGTCATTGATTGTATTTATTGTGACCCCACAGTAAGAAAGTCATTGGAACCCAGCACATGTAACTATACAAATAAGAGTATGGAACAGGACAGTCCTGTATTTTTAACCATGCAATATATTGAACACAAGTGAATATAATGGAAAACCTGTTAAAGTATTTATGCTGTAGTTTCTTCCTTGTTGAGTCACAGTTAGTATTTAGGTTTCATATAAATAATATTTCTATCTATTAATTTGTAACATGGCAATTGCAATTTCTTTTAAGGGCACAATTAGAGAATGAAAAGAAGAAAAGAGAAATAGCAGAAAAAGAAAAGGAAAGAATAGAACGTGAAAAGGAAGAGCTAATGGAACGTCTAAGGCAGATTGAAGAACAGACAATGAAAGCTCAGAAAGGTAAAAGTTTTTTTTCTGACAGTAGATTGAAAATAGTTGCTCTGTTATCAGACTGTAGTATTTCCTTGCTACTATTGAATTTTATTTGTATAATGTAGTACAGTCATATTGTCAAATGAATACTTGGTGGAATCACATCGTAAACATGTTTAAGGCATATTCGATTACATTGTGCTCATGTTCTTTTTAATTTATTTAAACACATAAAATATTTTTCATGTGTACTCTTGTTATATATTGTAAATGACTATATATATTAATTTATACCTATTACTGTTCAGAGTTCCATAAGCAAAAACACATATTCTATATTTTTTGGCTTTTAAAGAAAAGTATTTATGCAGTGCTTTATGGATATTCAAGTACTTTAAGGCATTTAAGTAGCAACATTTTCAGCTATTTTGACTATATACACTTTTTTGGAGCACAACTCCTAAAAAAGATATGATTTCAGTGTATTAGAAAATATACAACATGTAGACATGTTATGTTTTTTGTTTGTTTTTGGTAACGTGTTTGTAAGAACTTAGTTCCTAGGTGGCATTTAACCGAAATGTTACAGTATATAGAAAGAATCCATTGGATTTGTAATGTGTGGATTATATTAAGTAACGCTAGGATATACTACTTTCACACAGCAAATAGTGGAGAAAGCAAAAGAAGAAAAGTTATTGTGCAAAATAAAATGTTTTGCTTCTCAGGGAGTAACGAGAAATCTGCCCTGTTTATAAAACTAGATTTAGCATCTGCTTTCCTAACAACTAGTAGAACCAGCTATTTATTTCTATTGGAAGTAGCCAATAAACTTATTTAAAGTTTATTTTCATTCCGTACACCAGCCTACTGTGGTGGGGAGATGCTCTTGAGCAGTAGGTAGAATAATTTGTAATTGCGTAGTTAGAGGAGGAAGTCACAAAGATTGCTATAAATCTGTAAGCTGGTTGATCATTCCAATTCCAAGAGCACTGGAAACAATATTTCTAAGAGAAGAAATAGAACAAAAGCCCCTGGGTTTTATTCTGACTAATCGGCAGCCTCACTTCTCAGAGCTATAAAAGACCTAAAAACTAATTTAGTTCAAAGCCCAAGGGTAATAAAGCTTTTGTTTGGAGGCCACAATTCAGGGGCAGAACTTGTCTCCTGAATTCCAACTTGGTGCTGTTTCTTCCACTCTAGGTGCTTTTTTTAATCAATTAAAAGAGACAATTATGATGTGCCTAGATTATGCTGCATTCTAGGAATATAAATACATAGCATACAAAAAAATACGTGTAGTTGGCAAAAATATATACATAAAAATATTAATAAAGTGAGATAATGTGTACAAAGTGACATGTGAATAGTATAAACAATACTTTTAGAGGAAGAATGCTGTTGTAAAAAAAATGGATTACACTAAAATGTGTTTTAAAAGGAAAGTTTAAAAACATTGATGATATTGGTCTGATTTTATTTATTTATTTTTGGCAATGGCCAGTACAGGGATCCAGACCATTGACCTTGGTGTTATTAGATCGTGCTCTAACCAACTTAGCTAAACAGCCAGCCTTTTTTTTTTACTGGTCTGATTTTTAAAGAAAAGATTGAATTATAAAACTTTTTCATTTACATAACACCTTTTCTGAGAAAATATCTACTTACTAAATCTTTCAATCTCATTTATTTAGGTTGTATAATAAAAATATTAATAATTTACATACAGAAAACTCCTCAAGTAAAGAAGCACTAAAAAATATAAGGAAGACAGAACTTAAGAAAGAATATAGAGCATCCCTATCAAGACAATTTCAGATCAGTCATCTTAAGGCAAAGGACATCCAAGTTGTTTTTTGTTTTTGCTTTGTTTTTCTAATAAAGCTTTCACAGGCTACCTTAAAATCTGCATGATTATCTTGTAATTTATGCTAAATTCTCATTCAAATGCAGTAACTTTGCCCATATTTAACTCATGATATTTAGTAGATTAACTTGTAATTTTTCATTGAAGAAGAAACTTTAATACTTTATTATTATTAGAAAAAATTTTTTATTGATGTCTTTATTATTTCATATCAATCATTAAACAGAACTATTTTTCCACTTTACATTTCCATAATGAATTATTGTTAAATTGTTTATCTTTTTTGTCATTTTTTAACCATCTTGAAGATAACGTTGGTAACAATATTTGAGATGTAATATAGCCAGACCTGCATTTGGTTGCCGTTTCAACAAATGTTGAAGTGAATTCCCATTTTCAAGAAGACAAACAATAGGAAAGAGTTGGAGTATAATGATTTCATTCATTCTGGATACTTATTAAGCGCCTTGTGTATAGTAGGCACTGTTCTAAGTATTGCGGATAGAGTACTGAACAGATGAGGAGGTCCCTACTCTCATGGAGCTTACATTTTATTGAGGGAAGACACAGTAATAAATAATAAAATCATTTTATGTGGTTTTAAGTGCTGTCAGGGAAGTAAGCATGATAATGTTTTAAAAGCAGTAGTTGTGGGCAGGAGGGGGATGTCCTTTCTAGATGGAACATGTTATTTACAATTAGGAACAAAGGTTTAATTCTGTCATTAACTTAGAACATGACCATAAGCAAGTCATTTTAACCTCTCAGTTTCCTTACGTTCCTATTCCTAAAATGGATATCAATTATCCCTAACTTAGTGTACTGAGGTTTTTTAAAAATTTATGGTTGTATTTTTTTAAAAAAGAAACTTTTTCATTGAAATAAAGATAGATACAGTAATGTACATAGCTCTTTAGGTGTAAGGCTCAATGAAATTTTACAGAGTATATTTATTCCTGTAACTACCCAGAATAAGATACAAAACATTAACTGCACTCCTGCACTCAGGGAGTCTCCCTTTTACCTTTTCTCACTCATTTTTTTTTTTAACCCCAGCTTTGATTTATATCATTCTTACTTGTATATCATCATAGAGTTTAGTGTTGCCTATTTTTTTCTAATAGCTTTTTGAGATGTAATTTACATGCTGTACAATTACCCATTTATTTTATTTTATTTTTTTCTCTTTTTCATTTTTAATTTTTAAAA